ATATATATATATATATATATATATATATATATCTCAATTTCAATATAAAAAATTGACTTCTTATTCCAAACCCTAAATGAAAATGAAAAACAGCAGTTATGTAAAAGTGGAAGAGTACTTCTGTACCCTTTGAGATGTTAAAGAGCTACAGCTAAGCTGTGTGGCTGCTGTAATAATGAGTCACAGCTCATAAGGAAACAACCGGAGTTTCTGCTGCCTGGGCTGTTTCAAGGTGATAATTCAAAGAGAAAATGTAAACAATAATAATGTAATTCACATGTTAAATCTCATCAAAATCAAAAAAGGTGTTGCAAATTCCATTTGATGAATTAAAATGGAATGACCCTTATGTAATATTCATTTAATACTTTATATGCCATTATAAGCCTTTCTAGCCCTGTTGTTGAAGGTTACGTCTCTGGCCAGTGGAGGGCGCTCTCCAATCACTGCCCACCTTTGTCCACTTTGCAGATGTAATATTCGTTGCCCGAACAGCTGCTCACGCCCCACTTGGAGGTGAAGGGGTTCAAAAATGCACAGACCCTTTCTTCGGCCACAAATGCATCCTCCCAGTTTGTGTAGTCCACTGGACTTTCATCAAACCACACCCACTGCCCTGTGACCAAGAAACAACAAACACACGCACACACTGACGCAAGATAAATATGAAAAGGTTACTATGAAAATATCCGTGTGTGTCAGCCTTGAAATGAGCCATCCGCATCACAGTCCATCGCCACGGTGACACCCATATGACCTTGTCACCACTGCTCTTCCTGTTACCTCGGCGATTCTGGTAAAGGCCGATCCAGTATTGCCAGTTCCGCCGCTTAATAGGCTCCACTTTGCTGTGTAAAAACTTGTTTTCCTCCGGATCTGTGATGGTCACCAGGGACGCTCCTGTTGGAGAGAACACGCTGAGCCTTCACACCCTTTGCTAAATAATATGCCATGCTACATTAAATACTGCGACACTTTACATTAACTGCACCTTCATGCCTTTATAATGCATTCGTAGAACATTCCGTGCACCTTCATAATGCATTCATAGAACATTCATAAGCAGCATGTAAGTATAGCATAAAATCCAATGAACAGCAGCAATATACCTTAATACTAAACATTATATCATAACAAACATTATAATTGTATAATCATTTAATGTTTGTTATTAATGTATATTAAAGGCATGTTTGGATGTTAAGGTATACATACATGCAGCCTATAAATGTTCTACGAACACATGCAATGAGACGCAGCTAATGTAAAGCATTACCCTGACTGCTCTCGCTACTAGAAATCTATCCCTCTACCCATCTTCTGACTGCTTATCCTGGTCGGCATGGTAACGGGCCTGGAGTCTGTGCAGAAGGTTGGGGTACACGCTGGACTGAGTGCCAGTCCATTGCAGGGCACACAATCACACATTATGGGTGATTTAGAGATTACTAGACTTTTTAAACTGAAGAATATAGAATTTTGATAGGATTTATAAAAGCCCTCAATTTCCTGCTCACAGTAGGAGGGTGCAGAGCGAAGCCGTCTGTACCTAATTTGTGGCATTCAAAGGCAGCGTGGGCCCACGGTCCACCAGAGGAGGACTCTATCATATAGCAGTGCCCCCTGAAGGGGATCCATTCCAGATCGGGGCACTTGCCGGGAAGCTGTGGTGCATCTGTGGGAATGGTACCTGCACAGGGACAAAGCAGTCACAGTCATGCTCTACACGCTGAAAGCTGACCTACTCTCCAGTCTGAACCAATACAGGGACACAGCGGTCACAGTCATGCTCTACATGCTGAAAGCTGACCTACTCTCCAGTCTGAACCAATACAGGGACACAGCGGTCACAGTCATGCTCTACAAGCTGAAAGCTGACCTACTCTCCAGTCTGAACCAATACAGGG